TCATGTTAATGCCATTCTTTCACATGATTTATCTTTAAAAGGAGAACACCATGGTCTTACCAATAACGTTCCATTAACTGCAATACATGAAAGTCTAGCCAATAGAATATTGACTATAAGGTAATGCAAATGTATATAAGAATGAGAAACCAGCCTGTGAGATGGCTCAAATGATGAAGGCACTTGCTGTGAAGCCTGACAACCTAGATTCAATTCTGAACACCACGGGCTGGAAGAAGGATTCTGACTTCTGCAAATTATCTCCAACCTTCACGTGAACATCAAGCATTGTGTGCACTTATGCAGAGCATGCACACACATGCACACACACCCAATAATAAATAATAAATAAATGTTTAGAAAACAACAACAAAAGCAACTACTGCAAGAGAAATGAGGACCAACGCATTGTAAATAAAACAGGGTTATCTTGGCCCTGCCCCCAAGGTATCCTCAGTTGAGAGCCACTTTCCTAGCACTAGCATTGTAGGACTTGTCATGGCTTCATGCAATGTCAACCTAAGGGAAGAACTGTGCTGCAAAGCTCTTTCCCTATATGGGTCTAAATTAAAGTGAGCTTAAGAGAAACAGTGGAAAGAAGGAAGTCACAGCTATCGATCACTATCTGTCACTATCAAAGTTGATATAGTCCATGAGACACTGTGGCAGTTCACACTGCTTGTCATTGGCAGTTCATCTTGCAGGTGTACAAAGGTACTCAGGCCCCAGATCCTCTAGCACCTATTATAAACCTTCTTCTGGCTTCTGAGACTCTGGACCATGTGAGAGGTCCTGGATTCTCCAGCAGTCACTGATCGTAGTCAGCAAAGTACAAACAGGGTTTTCATAAAACCCAGTATGTCTTTATTCTGCCAGATTCACATCATTTTCCTTCCTGAGTGCTGGCTCAATTGATTCAGATCCACCAGCAGGAGCAAAGGCAATGGCCTTGCCCTTACTGTCTCAGCAGCATCCGCTGTTGCATATGGACATTGCAATCCCTTATTTTCTGACTTTTAAGAGTTCCAGTTCTTAGAGAAGGGTCTAACTGGTGGAAACTCCAATTTTCCAGCTTAAAGAAAACCTCTCAGCTCTGGAGTGCTACTGGACAACTCCACACCAGAGATAGAGAGCATTCCAACAGCAGCTAGATATGGCTAAGGGACAAGCTTGTGTCTGAGTTTCATGTCCTGACTTAGGTCTTGGCATGGTGGATACAGAGACATATCTGCTACCTCAAAGACAGCAAGAGACAGTTTATTCTTAGGTCGAATATGAGTGATTGTAGCTGGGTACATGGATGAAGGTTGCTCCCAAAGACAATTCCTTTGTGGAAATTATTATGAGAGATTTTATTACTTACAGAACAAGAAAGTCATAAATGAAGGGCATTTCTCAAGTGTATTGATGGGGCTTCCCCAAAGGTGGATCAGGGAAAGTCTGCTATAGGCTTAAGATGCTGTATGATGACATGCTTAGCTTTTGAATTGGTGGGAGATAATTGTTTGCCAAAAATACGTTTCAAAGGTTCTGCTGGTCACAAGGATGTTAGGTCAGGCACAGAGGTGGACAGCAAATGGCTTTTAAAGGACTAAAAATAGTCCAAAATCACTGGCTTTGGCCTGCAATAGCTAAACTCTATGATTGTTGATTTTCACTCATTTGGCCTTATAGAATATTTAGTTAATGTTTGTCCTGGAAGTTTTCTGGAAACTTCAGTTTGCAGTGGGAGTGAGTGCTTAGGTCTACAAGAGCAGTGCAAAGTAGAGAAATATGCTGGAGACTGTGGCCATCAAACTATGGCTCAAGTGCCTTGGAAGGTCTTATGTGACTTGGAAAACACGAACTAGTGACTATTCACCTCAGAAAGGGCCCTGGCGACAAACACAAGAAACTGCTCCACCTTGTCTAGCCTAGTGAACCAGTGAGTTTACTGGGGTTACTTACAGGAGCGTAGGTGACTCAGGCAGCCCCATTAACAGAAAGTCCACTCCTACCTCAGATTAAACTATCTAAGTGAGGATAAATGGGTCTTCTTGTAAATCACCAAATGTCGGGTAATTTGTAATAAGTAATTAACACATTGCTCTTTGATTAAGCCAGGAGGAGAAGGATTGTGTGAAGGGAGGAGGAAATGACTCATGGAAAGCCCCAGGAAAGCATGATAAAAGAGAAAGCCGATGTAATTCTCTTCTGGCTCAGAGAAATGTATAGAGGCACAAAGGTGAAGGGGAAAACGTGATCACATATGTATCTTTACCTCCTGTCTTAGGGCTGACATCATTAAGATCAAAGTTCACTGACACAGGGAGAGGTAAAATAAAGTTCCTGTTTGGATGGGTAGGAAACTAATGTCTTCCAGGCCTGGGTTCTCCTTTCTTATATGGAACAGGAAATACTTAGAAGTCCCCACAAGCTCCCCACGAAAGAAGAGGATATCACAGGGAATGTGGCTGGGCAGTCTCTAGAGACATTGATGCTGTGACCAGGAAGTTGTTACCACACCAGGGTCAAATAACAGTCAATAGCAGAATGCCAGTCCCCACAAGGGCTGAGGAGAAGCCTGGTCAACAGGAAGGACTACAGAGCTACATGGAAACCAGACAGACCCTCCACTAAATATTAGGAAAACACCGAGGAGTTGGAAAGACCCACCACACACACACCCAAGAACCAGCATGAACTCAGGAGTTCCCCCATTATCTCAGTGCTCAGGGATGCAAGCCTCTAAGACACTCTCTTGTGGGCAAGAAAACGGAATATCATCCTGAGTGAAGTAGCCCAGACCCAGAAAGACATGCATAGTGTGTACTCACTTAAAAGTGGAGATTAGCCATAAAGTGCAGGATAACCTGTACATGCTACAATACACAGATTAAAAAAAAAAAAAGCCAAGGAAGGCCAAGGGAGGATGCTTGAATCTCATTCAGAAGAGGAAATAAAATAGACATCTGAAGTAGATTGAGAGAGGGGACTGCTTGAGAAAGGGGGAGGGGAGGGTAATAGGAATGGGGATCAGATGTTGGGAGAGCAGGGGTTGGGGGCAGGGGAGAAGAAAGAACTGAAATTGGTGAGGGGGCATCTCTGGGACAGGGGAGTCTATGTGGGTGACCCTATCTGAGACTCCTAGCAGTGGGGTATATGGTGCCTGAAGTGGCCACCTCCTGTAACCAGGTATGACTTCCAGCGGACGGAGGGGTACACCAACCCACTCATAAAACCTTCCACTCAAAATTCATCTTGCCTACAAGGAGTGTAAAGATTTAAGGAATGCCAAATCATTGACTGGTACAATTTCAGACCCACCCCATGGGAGAGACCCAACCCCTGACATTATTAAGGACACTCGGCTATGCTTGCAGACAGCAGCCTAGCATAACTGTCTTCTGAGTGGCTTTGCCCAGCAGCTGATGGAAACAGATGCAGAGACCCACAGCCAAACAATAGGCCGAGCTTGGAGAGTCTTGTGGAAGAGTAGAAGGAAGAATTGAGGGAGCCAGAGGGGTCTAGGACACCACAAGAAGACCTACAGAGTCAACTAACCTGGGCTCACAGACACTGAACCACCAACCAAAGACCATGCATGAGTTGTTCCTAGACCACCTACACATGTGTTGCAGATGTGCAGCTTGGTCATCATGTGGGTCCCCTAACAATGGAAGTAGAGGCTGTCTCTGACTCTGTTTCCTGCCTTTGGATTTCTTTCAACTATCTGGGCTGCTTGTTGAGCCTCAGAAAGAGAGGATGTGCTAAGTCCTGTTGAGACTTGAGGTGCAGGGTAGATTGGTACCCCTTGGGGGACTTCCCTTCTCTGAGAAGAAGACCTAGAGGGAAATATGGGAGGGGGTCATGAGGGTGGGACTGGGAAGAGGAGAGGCAGGGGGCTGGGATCAGGATGTAAAGTGGTGAGATAAATAAATAAATAAATAAATAAATAAATAAATAAATAAATAAATAAATAAATAAATAAATAAATGGGAAAAAAAACCCTTGTGTTGAGAAAAGAAGGGAGAATGTTAGACATATCAGTTGATCCCTAAGAGAGAATGTACTGAAAGATTACAGAAGGTATTTATCAAATTGAATTTGCTTTTTCCTCTGTCCTAGTGGGAAGTGAGAGGGGTCTTCCATGGATGCTCACATAGTAAGAAACTTCAAAGCCTTGAGATCTTGGCAGATCAAATCTGGTGTAAGCAAACATGTGATTCAAAGTCAACTGCTTGGGAAACACAGACCTTTGGCTGCTCAGTGTATAATGGCAGCCTGATGATTTGAGTGTGTTCCCTGGGCCCACATGGTGGGGAAGAGAACTAACCCGAAAATTGCCTTCTGGCTTCCACACTTGCACACACACTCACACACATACGCACACACGCTCACACTCACATGTGCACACACACAAAATAAATAAATACATAACTGTAATAAAAATGTTTAAAGATTTATGGGGTTCAAAGCAGTTTTATACTAGGACTGAAACAGAATCGCAGACACACTTGGAATCAGCTACTCTGCACTGAACTGTCTTGTTGCTATGACATGAGAGAAAAAATTGAAGATGAAGGATTCTCTTTGCTTGCGTCTCAGGTTTCACTTCATCATGATGGGAAGGAAATGGCGAAAGGGAGAAGCTTGCATCATGGCAGCAAGGAAGCAGAGAGAAAATGCCTGCACTGCCTGACTGTCTCCTTCTTCCCCTTTCTTTCACCTGAACTAATAGGTTGAAATATGGGAAGCTGAGATGTACCGATCTAAGCAGCTCTCAGTCCAACTGAGATTACAGTCTAGATTAACCAGCACATCGCTCGCACTTTCCTTTCTATGTCTTATCTGATGTGACCCATGACTCTCCAATGACTGGCATAGAAAAGACAGCATTTGACAGAAGCATTGGAAAATGATACCCCTTGGTACTATGTTAAAGGGCCCTTACCAAATAATTGATCCAAATCCACTTAAGTTACAAAAACAGCAAAAATGAGAGCAGGGCTTTTGTTTTGTAGGTCAGAAGTCAGACCTTGTTTTATTGAAATGTGTACAGAAGATCAGAAAGGAAGAGGATCAGAAAATCTTGTGACAATGTACACAGGAGCATGTGTCATATCCAAACTCCTTTGACCTGGGCTGTCATGCAAGCTATTCTTTGGAACTTAGAGTGAAGTTTGGTGCAGCCCAGACCTCCCCAGTTCAACCTTTTCAACCAAAATAGACTATGACACTCACACCCTTTTGAGGCAGACAAGGTCTGGGAGGTTCTCATTCTATTCATACAGTCTTCTTTGAAGAAATTCAGTTCTTGTAGGACCTGGCATCATCTCTTAGATGGTTTCCAAGCAATCAGGAAAACAGTTCCCTGCCAAAAAGTAAACTCTGCTCATCCTCTAGTGAGGTATTATCCCTGAAACCAGAAGCTTTTCAGCAGCCAAGGTCATGGGCAAACTCAGGCTTCAGGTCTGCGCCGTGCTACACATCATATGAACAGATGGACACTAGGAAAAGCATCTCAGTAGCCTTGCAGCTGGTTCATTTCATGTTTCTCTCAATCCAGTCTTTGAAAGGCAACACCTTTGTGAAGGCTGTGGATAGTCCATTGCTACATGTCTTGTCATAGCTCCAGCTGACCAGCCCCACCAGATGCCAACGTGGCTCAGGGGATGCTCGGCCTGGGAAGGACAAAGCAGCAATACCCCCCGTCTCTGCAGTACAGATGTCGGAAAGGGTACTGGGGTCCTGGCTGGCACAGAACATGTTGTCAGTGACACTGACTGGAATGCCATGGTCTTCATGTTGTTCCTCACAGAGCAGTGAGTCTACCACCCTGACTGTTCCAGAATGTAGTGTGTCATTCTTAAAACCAGGGCTCCTCACATCTGCCAGGATGTTCCAGCCAGCCACAGTGATGTGCGACTCCTGAAAAGAGGTGCTGAGGTCCCGAGTGGTAGCCAAGCAGATGGGTTGGACACGGGTGCTGATGCGGGCCTTGTCTAGGAGCTTCAGAATGGCGATGTCGGTGTCAAGCAGGATAGGGTCATAGTTGGGGTGCAGAATGATAGCAGAAATCTACAAATGCAAGGAAGAGATACCAGTCATCAACAGCCAACTCCAGAGTGGGCAAAAAGAGGCCAGTTAAGGGCCAAATTATTGAGAGAAACTGTCTGACAGCTACAGTTATTTGACAATATGATGTCCCAGGAATCATAGAAAGTAATTGCTGTATTTTCAGAGTTGCCAACTCAAATGCGTACTGGGGCCTGGAAGGTGGCATTAAATAAGCAGAGTCTCCAAGTAAGGCTGAAGAAGACGGCATTCACATCTCATCTAAAGTGGGCAGATAGTATTTTGTTCCCAATGATCACTGATGTACAGAGATGTGACAAGCATTCTGATTTTACCAGAGAATGGACTCCAAGTCTTTCTCTGAAACATCTCAATTGTTTAATGTCCAATCAACTTATCGGTAAGGCCTACAAGTTTCTGGTTTACCATCCCTGGCCCACTGTAAGCAGCCAGTAAGTGCCAGTAAGACAGCGCCATGTTTCTTAACAACATTCTCTTAGACTCTGTCCATAAGAATGTTCTCAGAATATTCTATAAGACTTTTCCACATGGTATTTCCTAAGTATTTCATATCTTGCTAGTTAATGTTTTTGACAGGAGCTTCTAAAAGCTCATTTTCCTATCTTTCAATTTTTAAATGTATAGTTCTATTACATGGCCTTATTTCCTAAAGGGTTTCTCTATGAAATACTTTCCATAATATTCTGGTCTCTCCCTTCCATTAGACTAGAGAAAATATACATGTTTTTTTTTCTATATATATTTTCTATGGATTACATGTTGTAGGAGCTCAACAATGTATAGACAGATGGACAAACTGATGCACAGATAGAAGGATATGTAAGAAGAATGGATGGACAGGTGGAAAGAAGGATAGGGTAGGATAGATGGAAAGGTCGAGGAATGGAAGAAGGGTACAGAACAAGTGAGAAGCATTTTGTAGTTAGGAGTATCTTGGATAAAACCTATGTCCTCAAAGCTTATTTGTGAGAATTCCCTAATCCAAATATGATAGACAACTACTTCTCTTTTTTTTTCATTTAAGAAACACCCATTATTCTATCTTGGTATGGATAGTTATGGTACAGTAACAAGTCACAACATGCCCCTGAAACAAATAATTTCAAACAGGTTTATCCATTAAACAAATAGCTTAGAGCTGGGTGAGTTGGAACGCGCCTTTAATTTTAACACTCTAGGAAGCAGAGGCAGGCGGATCTCTGGGAGTTTGAAGCCAGTCTGGTCTTCAAAGCAAGGCTACGCAGAGAAACCCTGTCTTGAAAACTCAAAAACAAACAAGCAAACAAACAAAAAACAAATAGCTTCATCAGTGTACAGTGTACTATAATTTACAGCATATGCTACTAGGTAAAGTAAATGTATATTTTACTGTGAGATGAATGACTTTTGAAGACTACAGTAATAGTTGATACTTAGCTCTATTGTATTTTCAAAACCAGCAAAGGTGTGGAGGACAACTGATGGCATGCTATCAGAGTCTGTCAGTGTGAAACTCTGAGCCTCTGTTGCATGCCAAGCTTTGGGGTGGACACTGACATGCTAAAGTGATGTTCTCACAGGAGAACAGGGCTGAAAGAGGGCCCGTTCTCCCGTGCTCACAGCTGGTTGAGTCAAAGCTCGAGTTTCCAAGAAAGCCCCCTCTCACCCGTAAATTCTGGATGGTCTTCTCATCCCGATCATCATCCCTGTAGAATTTTCCCAAGACAACCTTGAGGTCTGCGGTCTTGATGATGGTGACCTTCCCCAGGTCAGTCACACAGTGGGCAGCCACAACCACAGTACGCTCGTTCACCAGGGCACCACTGCAGACCAAGAACCATGCGCCTTTGTGCAATCCACCATCATGGATGCCACTGGTCCTCCGGTAGATGGCTGCCTGCCATGGCCAGCGGGTCCCTTGGGTCTTTGGAGAAGCAACACTCTCAATTTTTCCACAGACTGGAAAGAAAACATCAGTTTAATAGGCTCGGCTCAGACCTTTCCCATCTGAAGGCAAATGGGTCACTCAACCAAGACAGTACAAATTTTAAGGGGAGGACCCAATGGAGGTGACAGCCACTAAGTCAACCAACCTGGTTTTCTCTTTCTTTTGATTTAATTTAATGCATGTGCTGTATTTGTATGTATGTTTTTATGTGCGTACATGTCTGTGCTAGCACACAGATACATGTGTGCATATACGTATGAAGATCAGTAGTAGATGTTGGGTATTAATACCTTTCTCAGTTTCTCTCCACATTATACGTTGAGACAGGGTCTCTCACTGAACCCTGGAGCTCACCAATTTGGCCCAACTGGCTAGCCAGGAAACCCTAGGGATCCTTCTGTCCCTGTCCCTCAGAGCTGGGATCTCAGGTACATGTCACTGTACCCAGTCCTTATGCAAGTACCTGCCACGCTAGCTCCTTAGCACCCATCCCTTCTGTAATAGTCAGCTCTCTTACATGTAGTTGGCTCTGAAATCTAGAGTTAAAGGGGGAAGGTTTGTAGTTCAATGAAACAATAGTAAGGCTTTGGACAGATCATTTGTTTCTTTGTCTAGAAAATGTACAGGGATATAATGATGACTTTAGGGGCTTTTTGAGAGCCCTGGTTCGATGATAACAGGCAAAATCCCATGACTGTCTCCATAAGCGTAACCACAACAAACTTAGCGTTACTATTCTCTTTTCACAAAAAGGAGGAGAGAGGAGGGTGAGACTGTGCAAGCGTCTAATCCAGAACTTCCACATAATGTCTCACATTATCTATCACCCCATTAGTTAATTCATGTCAGTTAGTTAATACCATTGGATATGGAGTGTGAAAGTGGAGCCTTGACAAGGCAGAGGTCTTCTCACAGCTTTAGCTTTATCTGTCCCCGCTTGGTATTTAATTATTATTTTTTTTTCTTTTTCTAACTATTCCTCTAAGATTTAATGAGTCAGTTTCTTCTGGATAGTAAGTTTAAGCGAAAAGGAGGGGAGCTCCCATTGTGGAATTCCAGATGTCACTAAGGTAGGAAAAACAATGGATTATGCCCTTGTTCAATTAAACTTCCCATAAAAGTCTTCAACATTATAGGTTTGTTTTGGTTTGTTTTGGTTTGTTTTGGTTTTTTTTTTTTTTTTCACAAATGGCTGTGGAAAAAGAAAAAGGCTCAAATTCAAAGATGAGCCTTGACTCACTTGGGACACAGGACGGGGCTCGCCCACTCCACTTTCCAGTTCTCAGGCAGGTCCTTCTGCTGCTTCCCAGGCGGCGGTAGAAGGGTGAGATGCACTCATACTGGAGCTGAGTGTGCAAATGTTGGTATCCAGGGGGAAGGTCTCCAAATGGAAGGGGTGGCCTTTTGGTGGAGGCATCATGCAGTTTCTGCTTGCTAAAGGCTGTGGAATACAGTTGGTGTAGCGGTGTCTCCCTGGATCAAGGCACACAGGACCAGAGAAAGAACAAAGAGCAAGACTTTAGCATCCAATGTCCATGCTGACATTGGTTATAGGAGAGGAAACCACCTCTCATCTCCCATTTTCTGTCCCTGTTTCTTTCTCCCTGTCTTCTTCTATGCACGTTCTCTTTCTCATCCCTCTTGTTTATTCTTTCTCTCCTTCCCCCCTTCTTTCCTTTCCTTACTCTCTCTCCTTTTGCTTCTGAATAAGTTTTCTTATGTCACTCAATATTGTATTCCTTTGTTCCTGGCATGCTTCCAAGTACCTAGGATTTTTACCAAACAGAATAAAGTCTGACATAATATTGCTATCCAAACGTTGTGCTGTTTTGTAGACACACACGGGTGGGGGAAGGGAAGGGAAGACACAGGCACAGAGGGGAGAGAGTGAAAGAAAATGAGGGAGAAAACATTTAATCGCAAAATTAAACAGGAAAAGGAGTTAAATTGAATAAGAGAAAGCCAGGCACATTTTTTTCTCTAAACATTACCATAATGGGGCTATACTAGGAATTGACTTGAACTAAACTGTGTTGATACAGTAGCTTGATTTGGCGATTAGCAAATGTAATTAGTTCACCTCAGAGACTAGAACTTTCTCTCAGGCGAAACTGCTCGGGAGAAATACAAAACCTTTCATGTAAATGTGAAAGGGGCATTAAATGAGCCTTGAAGTCGAGGCCCCTAGAGACACTCTTTGGGGAGAGATGCATATATCCCACATCTTGTGGTTGCTTTCTGTTGGTGCATAGTGACTGTCAGTCGGCAGACCGAGGTTCATGGAGGAATTGATGTCTTCATCCCTGTGTAATAATGAATGGGGACATGAAGGCCAGAGAGGTACTTGGGGAGAAGAGTGCTGTGGAACACAGGAAAAGAAGATGACACCCAAGATAGCACTTAATAGTCACCATTTCCACCCTCATGTCTCTATGCTATTAATTTACTTTTTAAGATGAAATCTATTTCTTGTATCTCTGAGATGTTTGTCTCAAGAAACATTCAGTCTACAGTGACTTCATTCAACAAATATTCATGCTCTGTTTATAGGCAGGTCTGGGAGCTTCTGAATGTGCGATTTGCTTACCTTTTGGTCACTGAAGCTACTATTTGTTTTGGAAAGCTGCAGAACATGAGAATATTCCCACCCCTTCATCAGCTTGTCTTTCAGGATGACGCTTAAACTAGATTTTAGGCTTGCTCTTCCAATTGCAGGAAAACTCCAGCACCGTGCTTCCTAGTTTCCCACTCAAACTGCTGCAACAGTAGGAAACCCGATTGTCTCTTCGTGTAGCTCAGAATTCCTGTACAGGCAGCATCACATAAGCAGGGAAAGCTGCAGAGGTGCCTCCTTGCCAGCCAGGAGATTGCAGTTAGCAGAGAGCCCACCCCAGGGAAGCCACCAAGATCATAGATGAGACAAAGTCTGCACTCTACTGCCATTGTTCCCAAGGGAACACCTTGCCTGAAGAAAGGCAAATATAGATGAGAGCCTGAGCAGGGGTGAGACGTGGCTGGTGATTTTCACTGAAGAATAATCCAAATCAGTTCTGCTTTAGAGGAACATCTTGTTCAGGCCTTTGAAGAAGCCACTTAACTCCTCTGAACCTCAGTTTCCTTTCACACATGCAAGGAAATGTTAACAAGATGCAAAGAATAATGAAAATACCCAGCTTCAGAGGTTACTGTGAGAACTAAATAAACTAATCTATGCAAAATGACAAGAGCAACAGCTGGCAGACAGCTTTCAGTGTCAGTTGTCAGTGCAGTTTTAATCCTCACAGCAGTCCTCAGGGACCATTATTACCCCTGTTTTTCAGAAGAGAAAATGAAGGCCCGTTTAACTTCAGGAAATTTGCGTAAACATAACCAGTATTAAACAGAGGCAGAAGCAGGTTTTCAACCCTTGCCTCTCAGTAGAAGTTACTCATTCAACAACTATTTGCTGAATGGCCTCAATGTAGTTTCTATATGGTTTCAGGCAGGAAAAATTCCGCATGAACAAAGCAAGCAATGTTGCTTTTACTTGTAAGTTGTGCATTTGAGGTGGCAGAGGAGAATAAGAATAAAAATAATAATAAAAAGAAGAAGGAGGAGGAGGAGAAGGAGTAGACAGGAATGCCAAGATGAAATCAGAATCATGGTGAAGGCCAGAGAAAACCAGGTAATGGAAGCAAACTGATGTGGTGTGAAGACACATGTGATGTTGTTAGTTTTATTTAAAATGGCAACTGGGGGCTGGGGATATGCCATAAAGTATTTATCCAACATGTATTAGGCTCTAGATTCATTCACCAACACCATAACAATATTTAAATAATCATGAAAGAACAGTCAGAGACAATCTCTCTGCCAGGTGAAAAAGAACAGAGAACTGAAAGTGGGGAGGGGGAGCTAAGCCTCTGTGAGATCCAATAGAAGCTGTTCCCAGACTGAACGAGCCAGAAGTTTTGCAAACAGAATTATGCTTGGACTGGTAGAAGAAAACCAAAGATGTTCAATCCTCATTCAGAAGGACAAATGCAACAAACATCAGAAACAGGAGAAGACATGGAACAGGACAAGAGCCTACCACAGACAGCCTCTGAAAGACTCTACTGATCGAGGTATCAGAGCAGAGGCTGAGACTCATCGCCAAACTTTAGGCAGAATGCAGGGAATCTTATGAAAGAAGGGGAAGACAGAAAGACCTGGAGGGGACAGGAACTCCAAAAGGAAACCAACAGAGCCAAAACAAACAAACAAACAACAACAACAACAAAAGAAACCCTGAGCTGTGGGGGCCCTGAAGAGAATGATATCCAAACCAAGGGCAATATATGGAGAGGACCTAAAACCCCAGCTTAGATGTTGCCCATAGACTCAGTCTCCAAGTGGGTTTCCTAGTAAGGGAAACACATGTCTCTGGCATGAACTCAGTGGCAGGCTCTCTGATCACTTCCCCCTGAGGGGTGCAGCCTTACCAGGCCACAGAGGAAGACAATGCAACCAGTCCTGATGAAACCTAGGGTCAGATAGAAGGGGAGGAGGACCTCCCCTCTCAGTGGACTAGGGGAGGGGCATAGAGGAAGAAGAGGAAGAGTGGGTGGGACTGGGAGGAAATGAAAGAGGGGGCCACAGCTGGAATACAAATTGAATAAATTGTAATAAATGATAATAATTTTAAAAAGAAAACCAAAGAGACTTATGCAACTGCAATAGAGAGGGTAAGACAGAGGATGTAGAAGGAAAGTAGAAATGGCCTCCTTTCTTGCTACCAGGTGGGCCTCATCTGTCTTCCCAAGAGGAACATTGGGTATGTGTTCATGCCTTTCTTATTGGTCATTTATCTCTGGCTTCTGGGCTCCATCAGTCTGCCTCATCTGGTTGGTCATCATCAAGACCATCTTCCTAAACCCTAGTGGGTTGCTTGTCTTAGTAGAATTGCCAGCTCCTAGAAGCTGCTATGATAAAGAAGCAGTTATTTCAGGAATACTAAAGTATTAAAATCCAACTCCTCAAAGATCATCAGGAAAGCCTTGCTTCTCCCCAGCCATCTGCTTTCCCACGATCCAATAAAACTTGTACTTCTTCCAATAGTAGCTACCTCTTGGCCAAAAGCAGCTGGCTAATGAGCCTCCATCTAACAAGCCCCATTCTTTCATGACCAGCTAGCACTAAATGTCCCTAAGAAATGCCAGGCCATCTTTGGCCAAACACAGTGGAGAAGGGAAATAGCTATTAGCCTTGAAAGCAGAGTTCAGGTGCTTGGTCTTACCTTGACTGAACCTGCATCGAAAGGACTCTCCTTCTCACCAGGTCTGAGATCTTCGGTTCCCGGCATGCTACAAACAGATAAACCATAATATATGATCCTTCTCTATCTTCACTGTTCACATCATGCTATCTAGAGTAACACCTGACTCCCACCCTTCCAGACACCACACATTTATTCCCCAGTCTCAAAGGCTGCATGGGTTGGAAAAGCTTCAACAGTGCAATTAGCAAGATATCAGCTGCTTTTCATCCAACCTGAGAGCTACCTCTGTAAAACTCAGTAGTCCCTCTCGGGGGGAAAAACGCTCTGCAGCGATGACTTGGGACAGTGACAGTTAATAGATTAGGGCCATCTGTTCATGGGAATGGTGTTAGCAAACTAGATCATAGAAGAATAAAACTCAAAGTGAAGGTTCCAAAATATAGCCCACAAAGGGAATTAGAAAGTCCTTGTTTAAAATCAGACCACACTGCCAATTAAGAATAAGTCTTGAGTAACCGACCATTCCTTGTCCTGTCTCTGCAATGAAGGTCCCTAGCAGTCACCAGAGGACAACTCAGAGCCCAGTTTCAATTCACTGAAATCGTTCTTTTTTTTTTTCTTCCAGGGAAAACGAGTCCTTCCCATCTCACTTTCTCAATCTAGCAGCCAACATTTCTCTAATTAGCAACTTAGAGTACTTTGGTTGTATTAATTTGTAAGAGAAAAGTTGACAAAAAAACATCCAAGGACATATGCAACACCGTTCCCATACTTAATGAAATAAAACACCAGGCCTTGTGCTGGGAGGATGAAAGTCGCTTCTGGCGAAAGTCTAAAGTGATTTATCCCTTTCACACTTATCCCTTTTTTCTCTTTCATTCCTTTCCCCATGATTCAGGTTGTTGACAAACACCCAGCAGAGAGAGTGAAGGGTGGAAGCGATGGTCTTGACAATCTAGGACATGAACACTCTTTTCTTCTCTGTAAGGAAGGTGTCAGCCCCAAACAACTAATGAATAAAGTCAGGGAGTGACTGCATTTCCACTGGGGGGGGGGGCTCCAGCCTTGTTACACAACAGTCAAGGGGTTGCTGCTTCCAACCTATGTTTTAAATGTTACTTCCTAGATGGCTTGCCTTGAGCTAAGCATAAGACAAATGCTTCCACTTCTGTCTTTTCTTTCTCCTCTCTTTCATCTGGAATATCATCCCAGCAAGTTCTAAATTCTTAAATCCCTCCTGACTGCTATCAATCCTATCTGCTTTACACCATCAGCTCTATTTCAGGAATACTGACCTCTCTTTTTTCTCAGAATTACTCATTTGTTCTTATAACTGCCCTTTAGATGTTTGAAAGTCTGCTATTTTGGTTTTTAGGCATCTACATGAGATAGTCTCTCCTCACATAGGTGGCAAGATACACATGCATATTGGCTCTTTGATTAGGGAGACAACCAACGTAGCTATGCAAAGGCTTACAAATTCTGTCCTTTGATTTACAAATATAAAACTCAGCCTTGCCATCTTCTGAAAACTGCTCTTCTCCATCACCTTAAGTAAGGTGAGAGTGAGGTCTTCTTGGGACCCAGGAAAGAAAGAAACAATGGCTTTAAAGGATTCTCTCCAAGCCAAGAGTTACATATGGTTTGAGGGTGAGCCTACAAGAAAACATTATTCTAGGGACTTATAAAGTAGGCATGGGAGCTGCCAAAGAGTTACAATGACTCCATGAACATCTACAGAATCCAGCGACATCCGTGAGTTACCTTTTATGCAGGTGGGCTGCTTTCCCGACCACTCTCCATTCTGCTGGCAAGTTCTTTTCTCGTTGCCACTAAGAACATATGAGCCATTGCAAAAGAATGACACAACCGTGCCAATTTTTACCTGGTGCCCATTGAGAAGCCCAGGGCCACCAGTAATTTTCTTGTACCCATTCACTGGGATCCCAAGGTCTGAGCAGTTTCTTTCTTCAAGGACTAGAAGTGGAAGAAGAAAAAAAAAGAACTGTTGAAAGTCTGAGTCATCCGATTTTAGAATAGATTCTTTTTACATTTCATTGAATTAAAAATACAGTGACACAGAGCCTGCTAACAGCAGTGCTTGAGAGAGTCTCCCAGAGGAACACCATTGTGGAGAAGCATGTCTTCGGCATGGCTTCCTCTTTTTCACGACTTATTCTTAACTCGAGAAATCATTCATTAGAAATATAATAAGTTTGACACTAAATAATAAGTTTAGCCCTAGATGATATCGTTCCATTTCTTTCTCAAACTGGGCAAGCCTGAACAACGTCAATATGTCACCTAGATTTCTCAGTTATGTGTATGGTGGTTGTTATTTTTTGGTGGTGCTGTTTCATTTCCTAACACTTAGACAATTAACCCAGACTCTTCCAGTTTCCTACTAAGGTTGTGTGTTCAGAAAGCAGAATTGACTTAAAACAAATGTGCCTTCCTAAATTGGGTTTAGACCTCTCCAGAAAGAAAACAGTATGCTAAAAGTTTTAGTTAAAACAAAATTAAGCAAAACAAAAAACTAGGGTGTGAGGGAAGTGCTGGAGAGATGGATGGCTCAGGAATTGAGAGCACTGGCTGCTCTTCCAGAAGACTAGGATTGCCATCATTCACATGGTAGCTCACAACTGTCTATGACCCCAGTTCCAAGAGGACCTAATGCTCTCTCCTGGCTCTCAGGCACCAGGCATGTAAGTGGTTCACAGACATAAATTTAGCCGAAGCATCCATACACACACAATAAAATCAAACAAAATAACACGACATAGTTGTAGATCTAACAGATGTCCCCGATCTCCAAACAGACTTTTCCATCTGCATACTTAACATTCATTACAGAGAAATTTTTATTCTTTCATTCCTGTCAGGCAGAGACTTAACAGCAGCAGCAGCGATTCTGAGCATTTCAGTTATGGCCTGGAAATATTCTATTGGATAAGGAGCATAATTGTCTGAAACAGATTAGGACACAGTGATGAACATGAGCAGTCTAGGGAAAGACAGTGAGACTCCTGAAGAATCCAACATTTAATTATCGAATTTGAGACCAATAGTGCTCTCAGCTACCCCTGCTTCTTTTTTAAAAAATATTTATTTTATGTGTAGGACTGTTTGGCTTGCATGTATGTTGCACCGAGGGTGTACCTGGTGCCCACAGAGGCCAGAAGAAGTGAATCAAACCCCTTGACTAGATTGTTCTGCGCCATTATGTGGGTGCTGGGAACAAAACCTGGGTTCTCTGCAAGAGCAACAAGTGAGCCATCTCTCCAGCAACTATCCCTGGTTTCTTTTCTGTCATTTCTTCCAGGACACAGACTCACACCTCTGGAGCAGTCCCCAAGTACAGTTCCCTGTACGTTCAACAGGCCTTGGTTCCTAAAACTGCCCCAATCACCTTCCCAGCAACTTAGTTACTTGCCCCCAAGGAAGAAGAGAAGTTCCCTTCAGACAACACCTCCAAAATATTCCAAAATTAAGAATGGATAAATCCTGTATCACTTGAGAAGATTGCTAGAACTAGCCAAATAAGTGGCTTGACCTTATTTAAAGACTGTCCATGGGCCATATGGCAATAGCTCAGTCATAATCTGTATGCCTTGGGGTTATATAATGTAAGCAACTCCTCTTGTGAGTGAATCCTAAACTCCTATTTTAAGTGTGAGAAAAGAGACCTCACTGAGCAAGCTGTTCAAAAATACCGAGATGGCAAAACAGGGAAGTGCAATTTTGGCACCTCAAGTGGACTCAGAAAACCCCAGTGCTATGTTTTCAAGGAGTATCTCTGGTGTGGGAAAAACAGGCAGAGGAAGCAGCAGTTGCTGCTGCCTTTGCCCGGAACAGATGCATTCAGTTCTGAACACCCAGCCGAAAGGCCAGTGCTGGAACCTGGAGACGCTAATAAAAGTAGAGTGTATCCCACCTGCTTGTTTAAAACTGTGGAATTTAGGTCCTCTCTATGCATTGTCCTTGGTTGGGGCATCATTTGCTTCAGAGCCCCCAGGGCTCAGATTTTTTTTGGCTCTGTTGATCTCCCTGGCTCAGTTGTAGCCCATAGACTCAGTCTCCAAGTGAGGTCTCTAGTTTGGGGAGCAGGAGCTTTCTCTGGCATGAACTCAGTGGCAGGCTCTCTGATCACCTCCCCCTGGGGTGCAGCCTTGCCAGGCCACAGAGGAAGACAATGCAACCAGTCCTGATAAGACCTGATAGGCTAGGGTCAAATAGAAGGGGAGGAGCCCCTCCCCTAGCAGTCGACTAGGGGAGAGTCATAGTGGAAGAAGAGGGAGGAAAGGTGGGATTGGGCAGAGATGAGGGAGGGGGCCACAGCTGGGATACAAAGTGAATAAATTGTAATAAATGATAATAATAATAACAATAAACTGGTAAAACTGTGGAATTACTCATAACATAAACATTGGGAGATTTTAAGTGGCCTTTAAAATGCTTCAGGACTGAAATGCTTGGATCTGTGGTCCATATAGCAACAATCAGCTGGAGTCTGGCACTGATAAATAGCGCCTTGCCTAGAATGGGCAGAGTTATTCACTTGGCCAACTAGACTGCCTAGCTCTAGCTTTTACTGAAATATATATCAAATCGGTCAATGTAAGAACTGAAGTTTATGTTATACAAGTGTTGTTCTTCATCCATTTTGAGTTTTGCTCATGGCCTAGAGAAACTGGATGGTACTTAAGGCTCATCCTGAAATACTGAGGACTAAAGAACCAAACTGTAGCCACATCAGCTTTAGCAGAAGGTTAAAAAAATCCTTTCTGTTGATGGTTTGGAGAGGTAAACCAGAGAGCTGGGCTTTTCTTTCCTTGGAAGGAGGCACTGTCCTAGTATGATAGACTGTCGCACCCTTTGTCATGGGCTAGGCCCTTAGGGTGTGCATATCTGCTACCTTTTCTGTGGGTTTGAAAACTGAGAAGTTCTTAAACCTTTGGGGAAAATAAAGATTTAGAATATTCAAGTCATTCACTTCTTTCACTGGGAAAGCTTTAAAATAAGAATGAAAGTGAAGCTAATTTGGAATATATCACTACCTCTACCCAGGATGTGACGATATGACTCTCTTCCCACAATTCTTCAATGTGCACATTTTACTATGTAAAATTAGTCAAATCTGGTCATATGTAAACTTTTCATATGGGACATCTTGCTTCTGAGTTAAGAAAAGCCACAGTTAAATCAAGAGAGCAGCAGAAACTTGGTGAGACCTTTGGGACAGAGAATTCTGAGAAGTCTTAGTATTATTTAAGATATTGTATATATAATGTCGCCAATATAGAGCATACTTCTAAATGAAGATCCAATGGAATATTCAATGGAGTGAATGCTTATGTCTCCCTCAAAACCCGTGTGTGAAAATTCTAATAATGCCAATAATCCAGTAGTATGGCATTCAAAAGTAGAATGCTTGGGAAGCAATTAGATGATGACAATAAAGCCCTAATGAATGATATTCCTGCTTCTATAAAATGGAATCCAGACCTTTCTCTCCCCTGTCTTCTTTCATGTAAGAAGACAACAAGATTGCACCACTTACAAACTAGAAAGTAGGCCTTCATTAGACAAGTCATCTTCTAGTGTTTTGAGCTTGAACTTCCTAGCCTCCTTATCTATGAGAAATAAACATCTAGTCACTCAATTTACACCATTCTGTTGTAGCAGTCTCCGATGACCAGATGGAAGGCAAAACCACATAACTCAGAATCAAGAGAAACACAGACAATAGAAAAAGATTCATTAAAGATCCAGATAATGTTGGATTTGTTATACCACTTTTAAAAAATAACTATGTTGAATATGCACAGGGAAAACAAAGACAAGATTGGTAACCTTAACAGAAAACTGTAAGCCTTGAAATATAACAGCAGGAAAAAAAAATCTAAAATGGAAAAGTACATGATAAAATGAAAAATTCAGTGGATAATTTAATAGGAAATCCAATGAGGCTGATGAGTACTAATAAACTGAAAGAATACTTACAAGAAAAAAACATAAGGAAGCCTAAATGGCCAAAAAAAAAAAAAAAAAAGCAAAAATGTACAGGAAAATAAATAGGGATTTATGTAAATTTGTGTCCCTGAATGAGAAGGAAGGGAAAATGAAACAGCAGCAATGTGCTAAGAGATAGTAGCTGAAAAATACCCTATAGATTCACATAGTCTCAAGTCCCCCAAAACATTTAGAACTCACATATATTTTCAAAGCAGTGGAGAGTGGGAGTGGAATGAGGAAAAATATACTTTAAAATAGTCATTATCTATGACTTATAACACTGAGACTAGTTTTTGCTTCTTTATGCTATGTTTTCAAGTCTTGCACTCCTTAAATGCTAACAGGCAAAAGTTTCTTTTGTTTTTGTTACTCTTTCTATTGTTAAGCTCTCAGTGGTCCTGGATCCTCTCTGTTAAGTATCTAAAGCCAGCATTTGGAATTCTGTGCCTTTTGTTAATGTACCATAGAGTCTCCACCCCGGGGGGGAGGGGGGGTTTGAAATCTCTTTAAAAAGTCTTGCATAGTTATTGACTAATACAGATTTTTCCATGAAATCTCTTCAGCCACTGGGCACTGGTAGAAAACACTGGCCTTCTAGTATGAGAGTTCAAATAATCACAATTGCTCTCAGAGGGAGAACTGATTCATTTTTCTTCAGACTGGACAATAATTGGATATTAATTCTCACCTGCAACGCATGACTATAACATGTATACACTTGGGCTGAATTGGGGGAGAAAATGAAAAAAGTTTTATTTTCATATGTTTGTATTTTAAAAGCAAATTTTCAAAATTTAAAATACTTTGCAAAACATCCCAAAAAGAAGCCTTAAAGGGCTATTATTAGACCCACTAGATCATAATACAGTACTCCTCTGCATTCTGTGGGCTTTGGGTACCGTTTACCCAATGATGAGCTTCCAAACTCAAGTTGCCTCAGACATCTGGGTACCAAGCGCAGT